AACAAATATTTTTTTGGACAAGTCTAGATAAAATGTTTAGATAATTTAACGCTCAAGTATGTTTTTTCATACAGACAGCCTTAGTTATGCATTTACATAAATTTATAAAAAGTTAATAATTCAAATATACATCTATCACATCTATATCTATACTATATACTAAAGTAATCATCGGATAGGACACTTGACATATTTGTGAAAAATTTTCCCTTCAAAATTCTATTTATATTTTTTGTAGAAATTTCTATTAGAAAAAATCTAAAATTCTTTGAATAATTTTTTTAATATATACATATGTAACACGTAAGAATTTAAAGGTAGACATTAAAAGAATTACATTTTTTTTAATAAAAAAAAGTTAGAAAAGTCATTTAATTTCAATGAACTCCATTTCAATGAACTATATCATTGTTAATAAATCTTAGTATTATGAATCCGTACATTATACGTGCATTGTACGAGGCTTAAACTAGTTTTATATAAACACACTATGCAGATTAGTAAACACATTTGATCAAGATTTTCAAACTTGGACCAGTATAAGTCTAATTTCTTTAATCAATTACAATGTGAAAGTAACATACTTTTAATTAAGTCATTATTAGGTCTTAGGTGAAATGTGAACTTCCAGAAACAGTTGATAAGTTGTTTAGTGGTCCTCTATTACTATTATCATACCATAACTAAGTGGGTTGGTAATACAAAGTTAAATTCATGGTATACTACCATAATTAGCACAATTTCATTTCTTTTTTTTATCACAAGGCACGGTTCTTGCATTTGCTATAATCATCTTTAAATTAAATAAGATATATTTACTAAAGATATTTTACTAAATAATATCTTAATAAAAAAAATTTATCATGGTGTTTATAGAGTCATAAGAGCGGGGTGAGAATCGATCTCAGATCTACTAAGACCGGGAGGAAATTAAAGCTCTAACCACTTGAGTTATCCCTTACTCTCAAAATTCATAAATATATAGTAGTATATGTGTAATATATTTTTGATATTATTAGGAGAATAATATATTTAATATTATTATTTATGTTAAGATATTTACGATTATGCATGGTAGTATATCTTTAAGATTTATGAACATTCCTATCCTCATAAATCCTATTAAATATACTAGCATAATCATATCATCTATCTTCATCTTCCTTTTTCATATTATAAACTTACAATGTATAGTCATAAAAGCACATATCACGTATGATGTAGATGGGCCGGGATTCGATAATATATCATGAATATCACCCCGAATATTCTAATCAATTAATTAAGATAATTGATTGGCATTCACACATTATAAATTTTTATATACACATCACTGAGGATCCTATGCTTATGTTTCGAAATTACAATGAAAAAAAATTTGTCTCAAATGGATCCTAATCAAATTAACAAAAAATTAGAATGCTTATCTCAAAAAATAAGCTAAATTTAAAATTAATAATTAAACTTGGAATTTTATGATATTATCTGTAATACTTCATTTGTATTTAAAAAATTATAACAATATGATTATCATCGCATTTGATAACGGTCAATTATGACCATTATTATGATAATTAAAATGAATATACTACCTCCGTTAACAGTTATTTGCAACGATTTGACATAAAGTAGAGAGGAAAAATGTCCCATCGTTGCAAATAACTGTTAACGAAAGTTGTATAAACAATATAAAAGTCAAACTGTTGTAATTTTATGGTAACAGATCAAAGCGAGTACGACATCTCAAAGGCCCAATCCTATTCAAAACATTAACTCTACCACAAAAAAAAAATGATTAAAAAAATTCACTTTCCTCAATGATCTCATTGTAATCACCTGAAAAATCAATATCATTAAGAATTTTTAATTTCTATAAAGTAGTGTAATAATTTACTAGAGAAAGTTTCCACCTTGATGGCTTGATGTATCATTTATGTGGAAAACTTACAAGTCCATATATTACCTTTATTTCGTCTTACATCATATTTCCAAAAATATGTCCCATTTATTTTATTAATAATATGATTAATTACTTCATAATTAAAAAGTATTGACCCCATTTGACTATAAACTCTTTACCTTCCAACAATCTATATAAACCAACCAAAAATTTAATATTTGCATTATATCCTTTCCATACCATATAGTACAGCATAAAAATCCATGTATATTTTCAATAGACTAATGTCTACTCTAAACATAATTATTTTCTTACTAATAAGTCAACTTATCCACTCTTCTAATGGAGATAATCACCAAAGATCAACTTACATCATCCACATGAATAAGTCCCTCATGCCTAATGTTTTCACTAGCCACCATCATTGGTACACCTCCACCGTAGAGTCCCTCGCCTCGGCCACGACGCCTGATAGCTATGAATCACCCACTTCTTATTCTTCACCTAGTGTCCTTTATAGTTACGATAATGCCTTACATGGGTTTAGTGCATTGTTATCCCAAAATGAGCTTCAAAAGCTTGAAAAACATCCAGCTTTTGTATCAGCTTATAAAGAGGCTAGAGCTACACTTGACACCACTAGGACTATTGACTTTCTTTCTCTCAACTCACGTACCGGTCTTTGGCCGGCCTCAAACTATGGCCACGACGTTATTGTTGGGGTCATAGACACCGGGGTTTGGCCTGAGAGCCGAAGCTTTAATGATGCCGGGATGACCCCAGTGTCATCCAGGTGGAAGGGTGCGTGTGAGGGAGGACAAAATTTCAACACATCCATGTGTAATAACAAGTTGATAGGGGCTAGATACTTTAACAAGGGTGTTATAGCCTCGAAGCCTAAACTTAAGCCCAAGGTGAACTCGGCTAGGGACAACGACGGTCATGGCACCCACACATCGTCAACAGCCGTAGGAAACTACGTTGATGATGTGTCCTTCTTCGGCTATGCAAGAGGTACAGCTAGAGGGGTGGCTCCTCGTGCTAGAGTGGCTATCTATAAGGTGGTATGGGACGACGGCCTTTGCCTCACCTCGGACGTGCTTGCTGCCATGGACCAAGCCATTGCAGACGGTGTTGATGTCATCTCCATATCTCTAGGATTCCATGATCTAGCCTTGTACAAAAATCCTGTGGCAATAGGCTCGTTTGCTGCTATGGAGCGAGGCGTGTTTGTGTCCTCTTCAGCAGGAAATAAAGGCCCGGCATATGCTTCGGTCCACAACGACATTCCCTGGTCCATGACAGTTGCTGCAAGCAACGTCGACAGACAATTTTCCGGGACTTTGCTGCTCGGAAATGGCCGGGAAATAGTAGGCTGGACCTTATTCCCAGCTAGTGCTGTCATTCAAAAGGTCTGGTTGCGATACGAGCAACAACTAGCAATGTGCAACTCTTCTGATTACTTGACAAAAGTAGCTACTAATGAAATAATCATTTGTGATGATACTGGTAAATCTGGCATGGTATTTAATCAAATATACCAAGTTTCTAACTCTAAAGTAGCTGGTGCTATATTCATCTCCAAAGATCCTCTGGTCTATGAGGCAGGGGAAGTGTCATGGCCTGGGATTGTCGTCGGCCCCAAGGAGGGCCAAACCATTGTAAAATACGCGAAATCACACAAGAATAATACTTGGGTGAGCATGCAATTCCAGCAAACGTTTGTTGGGTTGAAGCCTGCACCAGTTGCCGCGTCCTACACCTCTAGGGGGCCGTCTAGGAATTGTCAGAGTGTACTGAAGCCGGATGTTATGGCCCCCGGAACACAAATACTGGCAGCTTATGTTCCGAACATTGAGGTTGCTAGGATTGGTGATAAAATAGTACTGTCAAATGACTATGCTCTGATCTCAGGAACATCAATGGCGTGTCCACACGCTTCAGGAGTGGCCGCCCTTCTGAAGGCAGCACACCCAGATTGGACGCCTGCTGCTATCAGGTCTGCAATTATGACAACAGCAGACCCGCTTGATAACACTCGCAGTGCTATCAAGGACAATGGTTTCGACCTTGCACCTGCTTCCCCATTAGCCATGGGTTCAGGACAGATTGATCCTAACCGTGCACTTGACCCAGGGTTAGTCTACGACTTGGCACCACAAGACTACATAAACCTCCTTTGTTCTGTGAATTTTACAAGAAACCAAATGATGAGCATCGTAAGATCAAACAAACACCACTGCTTAACCCCATCAAACGACCTCAATTACCCATCCTTCATTGCTTACTATGAAAGCGACACTAAAACTGCTACTATGACTTTTCATAGGACGGTAACGAATGTAGGAAGATATGGTATGACAACATACAAGGCACTGATAACCGCACCTAAGGGAGCTCAAGTGAGGGTGTACCCGAGAACATTGGTGTTTAAGAGACAATATGAGAAGCAGAGCTATACTATGACCATCAAGTACAAGAGTGTTGATGAGTTAAGAAATACTTACGGTTCGCTGGTTTGGATGGAAAATCATGGACAGCATAGAGTAAGGAGTCCCATTGTTATATCCCCTACAGTGTACTTTAACCCCCCTGTCTGATATTTGTGTCCTAAATAAAACTAGTAGTTCAGCCAAATATTGAGAGGCATATTATACCCATAAAATTGTAATTTATGAGATATTAGCACACTTGGCTTTACAGGATCCCTCTTCTATCATACTTTAATCATATTTCCTTGATTTTATGATCAAAGCTAAATTGCTTTGATTACTGAAACAGATTTTTTCGAATCGTTTTAGCAGCCAGCAAGCATTCAAGCAAGCAATACCGACAACGATACTTTGATGCAAAGACTTTATTTCCTTGCTTGAGATTGTACTGGGTGAATAATGCCCCCTATAGGTGCTTTGGCAGTTGCTGGTTATGGGTCTTCATTGGGAGGCATCGGAAGCTATCCCATAAGAATTAATTAAGTCCCGTAGAAGAATAAGGCTCATAAGAGAAATCAAGTTCAGCAATATGCCCAGCTTCTCTCTGAAATAAGAATACAAGGTAAAGCAGAGATTAACGGCATAAAATCAAGTAGAACTCCAACATCTACACAATCAGCAGCAAAATAGGCTTTGATTAAACACTTTTTTGTAGTTGGTAGGACTCGAACTTATGACCTCAAAGTCACAAGGTGAGTTTCCCACTTGGTGCTTTGATTAAACACTTGCATACATAAATTCAGTGTCATTGACAGATGCGGGTGAATTATTATTCAATATGATTATTGGAACTTTCTTCCCCCGCTTGAGGGTATAAATTAGATTTAGAGTGCATGTGAATAAGGGTTTTAAGAAAAGGAAAGACAATTTAGAGTTAAGATCCTTTCTGATCATAATAACCCGTAAAAGTTACTCCTACAGAATGCTGTGCTTAAGAATCACTGACTTGATGCAGTGCTGGCATCGATTCACCAGCCAAGAAGGACTTGGCCAGCGTAAGGGAAAGCTTAGATCGATGTAGAGGGACTTCATGGCCAGCTCCCCTCACCACCACAAATGTAAGGCCTTTGTATTCTTGTGTCCATCCCCCAACCTGTTTGAGTCATGGAAAAACCAAATGAGAAAATCTGAAAGGGGTATAAATTGGAGGACATAAATTCCATGAAAACAATCAGTCAAAAACTCAAGCTAGGATGATGAATTTTAAGCAAAAAATCTGAAAGGTATTTTAAACGCTAAGAAACTGAGCTAAGTAAAAGGCAGTATTTCCTTCCCAAAAGCCTATATTTAGCGAGATTCAAACAATTATTCCATTAGTTCTGTATCAGAACAGCATATGATGAAAAATTTAAACTTATAAGAATGCAAGTTGTCAAAAGTCAAAAGTAAAATATGAGTTGATAACAAGTTCTATCTTAGGAGCAGTTTTTTTTTGAAATGGAAAGATAAGAAAATAAATGAGTAAATGACAATTGTATTAGTCTCGAATAAGTATATGCACAAAACATAAATGCAAATTCAAGTATAGCTTATGCATCATAGCATAAATTAGACTTAAGGAATCCGTAACCAGTTTTGGTAAGAGTAATAAGAGAAAGCTGACAGTAAAAATGAGGATATAATATAGGAAACTAGTCTTAGCTTCTACAGTAAGTATAGTAAATTACCTGTCCGTCATCATACCAGGCACGCCAAGGCTTAACAGTTGGAAGTTTAAGAGCATCTATACTGTATCTTGTTGATGTGACGGGAATTACAGCATCAGTGTCACCACTGCATTGAGTAAAAAAAAGAAGCTATATTATTTGCTTTTCATTGGAGATTATTTCATGTCAACAAAAATACAATCAAAATCAACATGCCTAGAATGCAGATGGAGCTATACAGAAAAGAAAAAAAAAATGCAAACCACAAAATCGACATAAGAAATTACCCTAGCTAGGCAAAACCAGCCCTTTGATAGTAACATATGCTGTAACAAAAAGACTGAATGGTGTTGTCCTAATTTGACCACTGCCACTAAAACCCTTCCTTGTGTGAGATTTAGTCTTGATGGTCACTGGTTCAATTACACCAAACAAGCTCATGCACCGAGCCTGCCAGTCAATTGGCTGTCATTATGAAGGAGTTCATGTGCACATATCACCAATATATATGTGCACCCAAATCCTAATTATAACATCAACTTAACATATTCCAGACTTAAGTCCAATCACGAGTGTTATGTGCAACGAAGTACGTGTCAGTTTCTGAACTTTTACAAACAAAATATCAACAATTTTCTAATATGATGGGAAACTCAATTATAATGAAAAAAAATTGAAATGATGCTCAACAATAGATCAAAAGCCATGTTAACAAATAATAATACACCGTCTTTCCATGAAAAATCTTCCTGCAAGGCTTTGGCACCCTTATTAAGGAATTTAGTAGGGTGGGGTGAGACTGTGAGAGAAAGAGAGTTAATGGAGGAGTCTACTTCACATGGGTTAAGTATGAAAATTTTCAATTTTAAGCATCAAGAAGATTTTTTTGTGGACGTCCTAAAAGGAGATACAAGAACATTATTTGTGGACAGAGGGAGTATATTCTTACTTTTTGACACTTAGAATAAACCCATCAAAAAATGGTTTCATGATCTTCCGATCTCTTTCCCCACCCCCAAAAAAAAAAAAAAAAACAACACACAAAAATACAGGATTAAATAAGGGATAAGATAGTGTGTGCTAATTAAAACCTGAAAATCCAAATTCAAAGTCCCGCATCCATAAACTTGTGATATATGATATATGTCAAGGACTGAACTCAATGATCTTCCACCCCCCCCCCCCCCACCCCCAAACAACACACACACACACACATACACAAAGAAAAAAACAGAGCCAAATATAGGATAAGATAGAGTCTGCTGATTAAAACCTGAAAATCCAAATTCGAAGTCCTGCATTTATAAGCTCGTGATATATGTCAAGGACTGAGCTCGATGAATCTTTCCAGTTGGTATTTATCGTTTCACTGCAAGACATAAAGAAGGAAAAAAGTATATTGAGTGGCATTAAATTGCAATTGGTAGTATGTAGATGTATAGGAATGCAGGGTACAAGCACAACAATACAACAGCAGTCAGCAGATATCTACTCCCTCCACCCCACAATAAAGTACCTTGTTACTGTTCTGGGACGTCGAAAGCTAAAATCATGTCAAAGTCAACTAGAAACTCTATAATGGGATGGAGAATACGAACGAAGATAATCAAGAGAAAATCATTGGAAAATATAATTTTTGTTCTGGATATCAGTGTTATAGCTTCAAGGCAGAATTATTAGCTAAAAAACGTCAAAAGTTCAAAGTGTCAGGATACTATCTAAAGACTGCCACGTTATCATATAACGAATATTGGAAATGAGAAAACCTGAAGGATGCATAAAGCATACATATGATATAGTTTCCAGAACAAACTGGATATAGCACAAAAATTATCACACTATAAATTAATGCATACAAATATACATGAGCTTTATATTTGAGGGAAACAAATGCACAAGAGCTAGAAGCAATGTGAGATTAATTTTTATTTCCAATCAAACCCATTTTAGTACTCAAACAGCCCCGGTTTCCAAAAAATTGTGATCAAGTTATGTCACAAATATCTTTTCATGAGCAACAGTTTAAGCAATGAAAATCATCTGCTCAGAATACCCTGTATTAGGAGCGGAAATCCAGGTTAGCCAGATTATCATGCACATAGGTGGCCACTAAAAAATTCCTGCTAAACCATGCTTATAATATTTGATCTGACAAAATGGTCAATTGCCTATTTCTGGAGAATTACCTGCATGTTTCCCATTTCTTAGGAGCAAACTTGGGATTAACATGTAGTGCTTGCTGAACTTCTGGATTGTTGAAGTATACAACTGAATGCTTCTCACTACATGGATCATATGCTTCATTGATGTGACCAATCTAGCAAATAACATTCCCAATCATGAATAATCAACAAAGATATTCAACAGGGATGAACTTTTAGATTTATAAAACTTGAAATTATTCCCTCCATATTAGAGTATTTACCTTAGTTGACATTTCATATAAAGCAAGAAAAGTGGAAAAAGAATAAGTAGGCACATTTTCTAATAAAGTAGTCCATTAGTTGCACAGTCAAAGAGTGGACATATAAGACAGTCAATTTGAACTCCCCAAATCAGAAAGTAGGATAATCAATGTGATATGATTGAATATACTATTGGAACGGAAGCTAACAACAATTTTGTTAATCAATAAGGCATGCACAACTAGCTCAAATTATCAGATCTCTAAGCTGCAAGATGATAATTAATGAGCACAGCCAGTATATATAGAGAGAGAGAGAGAGAGCAAGTTTCACACAACTGAAAAGCCAATACAGAAAACAAGGTCTTAGCTGAAATTGTGTCAGCTCTAGTCCAAAGTCACAAAATACTCTAATCTTAGAAGGTCAATACTTAAATAGTTCAGGGAAGATACAAGTTGGATGCATAATGTTAAGTTATTATTCCCATTTAGTCCAAGTACTGAAGGCCAACCTCCCATCAATTAATACTCCCCCGTCCCTAAATAAAAGCCCCATTTCTCCTGGCACACAATTTTAGGAGACGAATGTTAGTGGGGTGTTGTTGATTAAAATTGAATACGAGTATAAAAGGAAGGTAGTGGGAATAGTTTATTGTTTCTAGAGGAAGTAAGCAAAAAATAGTGGGGTTAGAGGGGTTTCTTGGTTAGAAGTAATTAAAATGGATAATGGGGCCCACCCGAATTAGGAATGGCCGAATGGGACTTTTGAATAGGGGCAAGAATTTGGAGATAAATGGGGCTTTTATTCAAGGACGAAGGAAGTATGTAGCTTTGCATTAATTAGATAAATAATTAAAATTCTAACATGCTAACTTTACAAACAAAAAATGTTGCGAGATTAAAATAACTGCCGAAATACCACTTGGCACTTACCAGTCTTTTCAGTAGCTTGTTAGGCAACGAAGAGTTTGCAGTACAAGAGGGGGTATAGATGCTATATGGGTCAATGTTTCCAAGTTCATTGCTAGCAATATCTAGTATTTCATTGCACTTGTCTGATGAGTGTACAAATGATTCAAAGTCGCAGAATACGTTAAGCAGCTTGTATGTTTCATCAGAGATTAATCCAGATGACCACATAAATTGGAAAACGCCAAGGTGGTCATAGAAATCATCAGTCAGGGCATTTCCAACCTAAAACGCATACAAATAAAAAGATAGTTAAGTATTCTGTTGTTCTGCAGACAGCCAAAGATAGCTTGTGTTTCTAGCATGAGAGGAAAACATACCATATAACCCTTCAGATTAATCGTTTTCTTGTTATTTGCCAAGTTGTGCCTTACAATTGCTTGGCTGAGCTGGGGCACATAATGTCCTGTAAAACATACAACATCATTCTCTGCAATAAAAGGTGAAGGGAAAACTGCAAGCACCAATTTTCTAAATTTGTCTAATATATGATCTAAACTATACCTAAACGACCATTTGAACCTCTGTCTTTCCTAACAGTATGAAAGTATACTGTTAACAAGCACAACTACGCGAAAAGCCGCTTATGACATTGGTCTGACCACAAATGTAACCTTAAGCTTGTAAGATAATATATAGTTGATATAAGCCATTTAGTTATACTTATTTTGAGTCACTGAAAATTACCTAGCTACACGTCAAAAAATCGCAGCACTAAACACAACATCCAGAATCTAGATAGCCTAAAGAAGAATCTCTCCTCTGTATGAGAAAGGGGGCTCCTAAAGCATTGCAGGAACTTGCCAAGCGTATTTATACAAATTTGGAATGAAAAAGAAACACAAAATATTTTGAAAAAACAAATAAATAACTAATCCAATGCAAAACAAATATTTTAAGGAATACCTCCATAGCTCTCTCCTGAAATGTAAAATTCTCTCCCCTTATAGTGTGGGAACCGTTCGAACCACTCCAGCAGAAACTTCAAGGAGTCCTGAGCTGAAATCCATAGAAAGAACAGTCTACAGCCATAAATGATTCTATTTTTTAAAATATATAAAAGTCCACGTCGTATATGTTAAAAGCAGAGTAATACCTGTTCTTTTGTCTCCATGAGATAGCAAATCAGATGTAGTGTTGGAATATGAAAAGCCAACACCAGCAGGAAAATCCAGAAATAAAATATTGGCAACTGCATAAAAAGCAAATGATTTTAAAAAGAGCCCCCTTCAAGATCTAAATAGCACAAGACCGTACCTGTTCCGAATGATCATACATTTAACATTAACGAATCGGGCCATTAGAATTTTAAGAAGAACACAAACAAATTGAACTTGTTTACAGCTTAATCAATATATTTACAGATGCAATAGGTGTCCTTTAGGCCCATCATTATCAATCTTGATCTCTTTATTAATGTTGAATGAAATACATGGCAGTTACCCCGCAGAACCAATTGCTAGACATAGGACAAGATGTAAAAAGCATATTTGGAAATGAAACATATTCTCTAACTTGTTTGCTGCTGATTTTTTTGACCACTCAGGACCACAATGATTTCAAGAAGAAACTAAATATGATAAATTTGACATGAAGAATCACAAGTTCACTCAACCCATTATAGTCCTAATAAGATATTCCCTTTGTCTCTAAAAGTTCTTCTCACAGTGATTATCACACAAACAAAAGTCAAAACTGGAAGAACTTCTAGAGACCAGGAAAATATGTCCTTGTCTTTGTTAGGTCTTTCTAAGAAATTAGTTTGGACTTAATAGAGAAGTACCCGAAAGATTGGATAATTCAAAATGATTAAAAAGAAGAAAGAGGGGGGGGGGGGTTAAGTTAAGAAAATGGGGGGAAATTTGCTTTATGCAGGTCAGTTATTCCTCCAAACTAAAGATCTTATTTTGCATAAAAAAGTACTTCGTAAAACATAGCCAAACGATACAAGCTGTTGTGTCAAACTTTGCCACTCAAAATTCAAAAATATAGATTATATCACTTTAATTTTCAGTCAAGATTGACAAATGTATTCTCTATGAGTCTATGGTGAGAAATGAATTTAATGAGTTGATTTAGATCTTGAATAGTTTTTGCTGACTGTTATCATTTTTTTTACTGAGTTAGAATTCTTGTGTGATCTCTCTGGTGAAAAACTTAAGTCCAGAAAAGCTAATACAATGGATTTAATGTCACATCAAACCATGTCAAACCCGAAGGATAAGATGAGACACTAGAAGCTTTATACTCTATCAGGATGAATTAAAAAAAGCTGTTGTGAGACATGTGTAGTTCCCAAATTATCCATATCAACAGCAGATAGTTTTAATTTTAACATTTCGAAGCATATAGTCGGTAACCCTCAATCAGCTCTTCGTTCATTGAAGTTATATACTGAATTCTAATTCCAAATCAAAACCTTTTATATCATATACAAAGTATTTACTTTCCTACTTTCTTTCATCCATTCGAACTCCTGCTTCATGGTCCAATATTAGAGGAAATGAAGAAACTTGAGCATTTGAGTCAATGGTAGAAAGAGAGTTCAACCATACAATTACATAAAGATCTAAGAGCAGTATTGAATTCATTGGCAAATCCATAAAAGTATTGCATACCTTTGTTCCAGGAGTGAGGATTCATATAAAGTGTTTTCCCATCTTTCTCAATGTGAAATGGACCCAGCTCTTCTGCTTCCCCATAGGCAATGGATGAACATCCGGGCCCTACACGAAACAACCATTAACTCAAATCCCCCAATCCATAAAGCATCAACTTGCTAAAAAAACACCATTTCAAAGTAAAATGCAATCCAAAACACAGCTATAGTAAATGCTACTCATTTCAATTAAAAAAACAAACAAATTTATGAACATACCTAAATTCTAATTATATTTACAAAAAAAAAAAAAAAAAAAAAAAAAAAAAAGTTCAAAAATCCACCAATTTCGATCTGTATCAGCAAGAACAAACAGCCATCAACTCAAATTCTTGAATGATCACATTTCAAGAGTAAAATGCAATCCAAAAGACAGCCACTCGTACTATATTAAATGACAATCATTTCAATCAAAATATAAATTCGGTATCATAACCAGTATATTTCAGCAAGAACAAATAAAATCAAAGTCAATGTCAACTAGATTAATTAGCTAAAGTCATCCAAAGTGATACTCATAACCAGTGATCGAATCCCGTCTACATCATTACCCTTTCCCATCCCCGATACACCAAAGTCAAAATAAAATCAAATAAAAGAAGGGTAAAAACAAGATTGAACCTCCATTAAGCCACAAAAGGAGAGGTTTTGAAGAAGGATCTTCAACAGCTTCAATGAACCAATAAAAGAGTGCTCTTCCATATTCTTCATTAACAGTTATATACCCAGAAAATTGTGAAAACCCCACATCAAAATTCTGGCCAGGAAGATAATAAATTCTGTCTAAATTTTGTTGGGTAAGTGGGTCCAAGGATGAACTTTGAAAACTGCAAATACCCAGTCGGGAATTTAGAGTGAAAATGAGTAAGTGAAGAAAAAGAGAGAAAATTTGACTGAAATCTCTCATATTTTTTTTGATTTTTGGTTAATATGTTCAAAATGAGTGCTTAATTTTAATTTCTTCCAAGATTTTTGGGCTAAATATTAGGCATAGACGGCGTGGGCAATTGTTTAGTGATTTATGGTTGGTGGGAGTGTGGGACTATTTAGATAATGAAGTCTTTTTTAATCTTTACAATAATGTACGTAGAGCTGTTAGAAACGGACCCGATCCGAAAAATTTACCCGAACTCCATTATTAACTGACTTGTTTGAAATCAAAAAAATATGACCTGAATCCGATATGACCTGACCTGAAACCAACCCTAGACCCGAGCTAACCTGAATATTTGAGATCCGAACCCGAACATGAATCAACCTGGAGATCGCCCTGAATATAACCCATAAATTATTGACCTGAACCGAACCCAACCTGAACCGAGATTGACCCAAATCCGTTTTAACTTTTAAACCGTCAAAACCCGAATTTAACCCGACCTGTTAGTAACCCAACCTGTTACTAACCCGACCCGAATATAACCCGACCTATTACTAGAACTGTTAAAAGCTGACCCGAACTGAAAAATTTACCTGAACCCAATTATGGTGACCCGATTCCGATATGACCCGACCTGAAACTAACCCTAGCTAAACCCGAGTTAACCTGAGTATTTGAGACCTGAATTCGAACATTATATGACGTATTTTCCAAACTTATCTTATAAAAATCTAAACTAAACTATCTTACTGGATTAATATGAACTTATTTTATATATCTTATCTAAACTTATTTGAACTTATTAACTTAAACAAAAACTAATCTGAAATTGTTTCCTAAAATGAGTGGAATCAAGGAAAAAAAAAGATCAGAATAAGGTATGAACATAGCTTAACAAGATCACATTTAGTTCGAATTTGAGCTTATATGAAATTAGTTATCCTAAAATAAGCGAAAAAATGTAATAAATGAATAAATTGATAATGATTAAACATAAACGTCAATACATGAACTGTTAATAAACCGAAACGAAAAATATACTCGAACCCGATATGACTCGACCTGAAATCAATCCGAGACACAAATTAACCCAATATTTGAAATCTGAAGTCGAACATGACACGGCTTGGAATTGACCCGACCTGATTATAACCCGCAAATTATTGACTTGAACCGAACCCGACTCGAACCCGAGAATGATCCTAACTCATTTTAACCCGTTAAAACCCGAATTAAACCCGACCTATTATTCACCGACCTGAATGTAACCCGACCAGTTATTAACCCGACTTAAACCCGATAAGATGTATGACCCTACTCAAACATGACCCAACTCGAACCCGAACCGCATAGGTTATGAATTAACCCGAGCTGACCCGACCCAGACTAACCCGACTCAAATCCGACCCGTTTATCAAATTGACACCTCTAAATATAGGTAGACATGGAGTTCACCCAATGATGCAAATTAGCATATCATATTGTTTAAAAGTGGATTACTCGTACTTCATAACAAAACAAATTTTTTATTTGCATCGGCCATCGGTTTGAAAGTATTTAAAAATAAATAATATAAACTATTCAAAGGATCGGTTCTAACTCTTCTAAGGGTTTGGTTTAAACTTCAAATATATATGTTGAAGGGTTTTTCTTTCACTTCTTGATTTTGTGCTCTTTAATTTAGATTGTCAAATGCTTGAGGGTTTAATAGGAATCATTAATAAATGAAAATTGCTAGTGGTGTTAGATATTTTAATAATAAAAAATAAAAAATTGCAAATACAACGCCAGTATTTCAATTGTAAAAGTGAAGGTTAAAGCAAATCCTACGCCAGTACTTTAAAAAATAGTTTATATATCAACGCAGTCACACAGATGAAATTAAAAAAAAAAACAAATACAATTATGTTCTCCTAAAAAAAAGTTAAACCTTATACGTTAAAAAGTTAAACAAATACAATTATATAAGCATTTTGAAAATTACAACCTAACAAAATTGTTCAATAAAATTAATTTAAAATGAGTTTTTTAATTACTTCATAATTTAAAGGGTATTATCCAAATTCCAAATTAATAAGCAACATTAATTAGACGCCATAGTAGTGTACTCAACCTTTAACAATTAATTAAGGTTGTAAATTTGACAGCATTACTTTGTATTGTACTTCAAACTTAGATACGTTGCTTTGAGTTGAAGCATTAATTGATGCAAATGATGACAATACTTGGTAACTAATATTTCAATTGTTTTGGGCGGCAGCGTGGGAAGGCAGGCAGTGAAGCCCATACGAGCTATCACAATTGCTCTCATGTTGGGACCTCATCTTCTAGTCATTGCTCAAACTTCACTTGTGTCGGAAGTGTCCGCGAATTCAAATGATGTTAACTAATAACTATACATATCGATCATATTGGAGTTGCCGGAAGGGTTACAAATCATATAGACATGGAGATAGTGACGAATCTAAAAATAATATTTAGTGAGTGTTTTTAAAATAAGATTGATGAATTTTTTTTTTTTTGGGTTTAAATTGGAAATATATACATGAGAAATTTAAATTTGCTCAATTTTCAATGGGATTAATTGGCTCTAGAATTGTGAATGTGGCTCTACCCAATGATGACAAATGGACTAATTCAAATGAGAATACTGATAATGCATATATCTAGCAACTAATAAAATTACAACTATAAATAAATGATGGGTTTATTTATAATCATTGACTTTAACAGTGGGTTAATTCCTTATCAGACCAGAACCTCTCATAGGTCCATTCGGTTCGGATTATCAGACAAGGACACCCCTTGAGAATGGGAGAAAGATAAGGCAATCCCCACATTCAAATTGTCTCTAATGGGGATTGATACCACAACCTTATGAAACAATCCTTATCCCTAGACCAAGTATTAAGAAATTTACTTGCTCCATTTTTTTAAAGAAATTTTTTCAGTATACTTTTTCACCTGAATTAGGTCTCATATATATATATATATATATATATATATATATATATATATATATATATATATATATATATATATATATATATATATATATATATATATATATATATATATATATATATATATATATATATTTCCTCTACTTTTTCACTTGCATAAAAATCCTGTACAAATGACCGTGGACCCAGTAAATTGAAATGTAGAGAATAACATGTTTTATTACTTGAGTTTCAAAATATAAACTATGTGATGGAAATTAGCAAACAATAGATGGACTAATGAATATAAACACAAAATTAACATCCCCCATTCCAAGTTAGATACATCTAAGTTGAGTGTGAAAGCATAATTGAAAGATAGCTAAGATCGTACTCCCCCGTCCCTTAATAGTAGTCTCTTTTGGTCAAATATTAGTCCCAAAATGTTCACCCCATTAACATTAATTTTTTACCAAAATTCCCTCCAATTTGCACAATAATATTTGTGCAAATTTAGCTTTCCCGTGTAAATTTTGCATTTTCATATACTTTTATTATTTTCTCTCTCTACTTTTTTGCATACCCCATGTAAATTTACCTTTTCAATGTACTTTTAATACTTCTTATTTAAGTTTCTTAATTTCCGTGAAATTTCACCAAAAGGGACTATCATTAAGGGATGAAGAGAGTAATTAGTAAGCCTTTAACTCATTTCTTGATGGCCTTCAATTCAAATTACTATATTAAAGAAGTGACATGTATACTTATTATAAACACGATTTATAGTATTGTAGTTGATAGACATTTTTTTTTTGATAGGAAAGGCAAACAAGAAGTTAAATAGGATAGTCTTCTCTCAAGACTATGTTGATTGATGTTTCATACTGAGTATAAGATTAACACTTTATATATATATGTTCCACGTCATAGAGGTATGTTTATGACCATTATATCTCTAATTAATTAAACATTCTTGTTTTATACTAATAATCATGCATTGCTAAAATTTTTATAAGGTTTATAGTATGTATTGGTAAGAATTTAATAAAACCCCTTTTGATATGTAATTGCATGAAAATTTGGTCAAATATTACAAATTTATCTCTTTAAATGGATAATTGCTACAAAAGGATGGAGTATACTCATATTATAACAATTACATACAACTCTGATATACAAATACAACTACATTTATCCCCAAATATAAGTCTCATTTGACTTTAGCTTGAACTTTTAAGAAGATGAATATTATAATAAGATAGATAGTGAGGTTTAATTGATCAAAGATACACATATAAGAATAGATAGCGGGTTATATGTAGTTGATAAAAAAAATTGTATAAACAAAAAAAGTATATAATGTTATTATAGTGTTATAGTGTGCCTATGAGCATAAATTAGGTAGTCCTTCAAATGATTTTCTTAAAATTAAAATTCATGGCAGAAGGAAGAACCGAAGAATGGAGGGAAGATTGATTCATCACAATCAAATTAATATTGATTGAATTTACTTTTATCACAGTAAAAACACCTATTTATTAGTTTGAACAGAAATTTTAAACAACTTTAAGAAAACAAAAGGTTTTTTTTTTTTAACAAAAACAAACAAAATGGGTGTTAAATTACTTGTCAAGTTGATGTTTGGCTACAGAAATTACTCACAAAACAGTATAAATGGGTGTTAAAGTACTTGTCAAGTCAATTTTTATTTTGGCCTGGGGCCTTTAAGATATACTAGTATTCAACTTGTTGGACCTTAAAATGACCCTAAAGAAAGAGACAAGCTTTAGTACATTACAACAAATATGGATTACAAACTTTTGGCCTTTAAGTCGTATTCTAAGTGAACAACTTGTACATACTAGAGTTTAGTCAAACCTAGGTTATACATTTATCATAATAATTTTATAAATGAGTCGAGGTTAAACAAGTATTATTGAACCTCTATTATGTTCATTTGATGAACAAGGTAGAACAAGAACAAAGTTATATCATTTATGTAATTTATGAACATTTTGTTTTGTTAAACTACTTGTTTATTTAGCCCATTCATGAACAATTTTGATTATTCCCATTAATAAGCTCATTTTGTTATTGTTAAAGTTCATTTGTTGTCATGTTATTAATTAATTAGCCGATTTTTGTAGGCTAACAAATATTATTCATAGATCTATATATATTGTGAGAAAGAAAAACTCATTATTAAT